GTATACATGGCTGAGAGATCATAGATCCTAGAGGGAAAACCCACTTTTGCCACATCCCTAGACCAGCATAATTTCTTATTGATATGCATCCTCATATTTACAGAGAAGTGTACCTCTCACCCTTCATCAAAGGAGCTCCTTTTTGCAAGAGATTAGAGACTATTACAGAGTTCCATAACTGTTCAAATGCAGAGAATAAGTGTGAGATGCTTAACCCTAAGTGACACATCCTCAATGCAACCTCTACACCTAAGATGAATACATCTCTCAACTCACACCAAAGAAGTTTCCTTATGCAGCAGATAGTAATTAACCCAGAAACCTACAACTGATGACTGTATAGAGAACAAGAGGCCACAAAACGCTTATCCCCGAATAGGACACCTAGTTCAAACTTCTGCCTCCCAAAGCTCAGGGATCATTGCAGAAGAGGGGTCAGAAAGATTGTAAGAGCCAAAGATGGTGGATGACAAAGGAAGTTTTGCAGTCAATTACTCATATGAACTCACAGCAATGATGAGAGCAGGCACAAGTCCTCAAACCAGGCAAAATCCCAGCATAGACATGGGGAAGTGGGTAAGAAATCCCAACCCAACTTAAGGAAATTTTGGCAACCGATGGCTGCTGGGAGGGGTAGACACAGTCTCTTTCAAGGAGTCTTTCAAGGAACTCTTGGTAGGTCAACCAGGCTCCAGTGGATGGACCCACACTGAAGGACATTTGGAGACACAAATCAGACTCTACAGGCAGATAGAAGAGAGGATCTAAATGTTATCAATTTGTGTGAAAATTGTAAAAATATTCAACAAAAAAATTTAAAGACATTGATGTAAAGAGTGGAGAAGTAGATAATGAAAAATAAAGATTTGTGAAATACATTCCTATTTTTCTTCTCAATAACTGGCATTAGAAAAGGTGGATATCATCTTTAGCAAAATGAACCTCAGCTCTGACCTTGCACCACACAGAAGCAAACTATAGACCACACAGCCCCAAATAAAAATGGGGAGAGAGAGAAAACCTATATGACCTTAAAAGAGGCAATCATTTAATTTAAAAAATTTTTATCTTACATGTGTGTGCCTAAGTGTATGTATGTGCACCATGTGCTTGCAGGTGCTTAAAGAGTCTTGAAGAGGATATCAGATCCCTTATAACTGGAATCACAGGTGGTTATGAGCTGTCTTATGTGGGTGCTAGAAATTGAATATGGGTTCTTTGGAAGAGTAGCAAGTACTCTTAAACCCTGAGCCATCTCTCCAGCACCAATAATTTCTTAATATACAAAGGGCACTAAACATTAAAGACTAGTAAATTGGACTTTGCCAAAATTTAAAATTTCCATCAGAAAACTTAAAAATATATAAATAGCTATGCTGTGGGGCATGGTGGTATACACCTTTAACCCCAGCACTCCGGAGGCAGAGGCAGGTGGATCTCTGTGAATTCAAGTCCAGCCTGGTCTACATAGTGAGTTCCAGGATAGCTGGGGCTACAGGGAGACCCTGTTTCAGAAAGACCAAAAATCATAATAAATAAATATGCCAGTGGTGAAGAGTAGTTGCAAGATAGGCACCCGAGAAAAAATTGGTATCCTAGGTATGTAAGGAAACACTGGAACTCAATAATAGGGACCAAGGTGTGTGTGTGTGTGTGTGTGTGTGTGTGTGTGTGTGTGTGTGTCTGCACATGCATCTGCACATGTGCGCATATGGAAGCCAGAAGTCGACATTTGACATCTCCCTTAACTGCTGTCCTCCTTTTTTGAGATAGAGACCTTCACTGAACCTGGAGCTCACCCATTTGGCTAGGCTGGATGGCTGGCCAGCGAGCTCCAGGGATCTGCCTGTCTCCACCCCTCCCTACTCCCAGGAGCTCTGGGATTTCAGATATATGCCACCATACTCAGCTTCTTATGTGGATGTTGGAAATCTGAACTCAGGTCCTCCTGCTTGCATGACAAGCATTTTACTGACTCAGCTGTCTCCCCAGCCCTGAGACCACTTTTTTTTTTTTTTTTTTGGTCTTTTTCAGACAGGGTCTCCCTGTAGCCCCAGCTGTCCTGGAACTCACTATGTAGACCAGGGTGGCCTTGAACTCACAGAGATCCGCCTGCCTCTGCCTGCTGGGATTAAAGGCGTGCGCCACCATGCCTGGCTGAGACCAATTTTTTAAATGAGCAAAATATTTCAATTTACAAAGAGATACAAATGCTCAACATACTAGACATCAGGAAAATGCAAATTAAAATCCCAATGAGTTAAGTGTATATGCCAGTATCCAGTGGACTTAAAACTAAAATGGCTCATACTGCCAAATGTTTATAAGGATATGGACATTGTACAATGTTGGTTAGTAGGGCTACTTTGAAAAAAATGACATTTTCTTACAAAATGAAATGCATACCCTGTGACCGACCAATTCCATTACTACATATTATATTTACCCAAGAGATGAGAAACACATCTACAAATGGTTGTATAGGAATGTTCCTAACAGTTTTACATTTTTTTCATTGATTTCATGTTTCCTAACAGTTTTATTTATGCTAATCAGTTTTTCTCACATTCCTGGTTTCTATCACTAAGAATGTGAGTAAAATTATGGCTTATCCAAACAATGAAAAGCTGATAAAACAAAGCAATGAACTAAGACATCTGATTTGGGTAAGCCTCTGAAATGATGTTTTACACAAGAGACAGACAAAACTGATTTCCTTAAAGGATAAAACAATCTGTGGTAGAAAAATTCAGATCAGAGGTTATATTTGCAAGAGCTTGAGGATTTGCTGGAAGACTTGTGGAAACTCTAACCAGTTGGTTGACACTTGGTTGGTAAGTGGGGGAAACTATTGTTTGGCTCCCAAAGATGTGCACACTTGTCAGAATTCATCTGATGGTATATTTTTACATCATTGTATATAAATTTTACCACTAAATTTTACCATAATGTGAATAGAGGTGAAAATATATGAAACTCTATGGCTACAACTTCAACTGTATCCTAACCGAACAAGTTGATGGATGAAAAGAGGGATATATATGTATGTATATATACATATTTACATATATATACATATATATGTATATTAGTCTGGAAGAATATCCCTTGTGGAATCTAGGTGGTGGTATGTGGGTTATCACTGTAAAATTCATTCAACTTTGGTATGCTTCTCTTAAACTAGTAAAGGTGACTGGGGTACTCACTCTGGGTATATATACATATGCTCTTATACTCCATACTCCCTAGAGCTCTTCCTTCCCAGTAGACAGGTACAAGATGAAACACCATAATATTACTTCATTCAAAATAATTTGCATTTACTAAACAGGACTGCAAGCCTTTCTGTCTCTGTCTCTGGTGGGTAGTGTGGGTGGGTTGGTCTCCTGGGACCACTCTCTCCGAACCTGGAACAATTCTGCTTAGTTCGTGATGGCTGTATTTCCATTCCTTGGTTCCTGCATTTTGCTTTCCAGGGCTGCGGCAGGTGATTCTGGACCAGCAACAGGCGCGGTTGGGTATACTGCTGCTGACCAGATGAGGCCTAAGGAGATGCAGTGCCCCCTTCTGGCCCCAGAGGGACCCACACAGATCAGTGAAGCTCGGAACTCGGTTCTTCAGCACCCACTTCCAGGATCTGCGCACCGGGTGGGAGCATCGCAGCCGGGAGGTTGGTCTTCCAAGCTTCTGGAGACTGTGGGCGGAGAGCAGCGCTGGAGCCAGGCCTCACAGCCCGGGAGGCGGGCACGGGGTGGAGTCGCTGCGGCTGGCTCCACCTGTTGCAGGGTCTGAGCCGACCCTGGAGGGAAGTCTGCGCTAGGCGCAGACCTCTGCTCCCAGCCCCTCTGGGCAGGGCAGGGCCGGGCCCGGCCACGCGAGTTGGGAGACCCAGAGACCGTCCTGACCCAGCCGCAGCAAACAGGTGCGCAAGGGGAGGTGAGACCTCCCGCGACGGTGGGGCGCGACGGTGGGGTGTCTGGGTGGGCGCCCCCGCAGTTTGCTGGAGAGGCTTACTGCTGGTTTGCATGGGGTAGCTGGGAGCACTCTGCGCCGAGCCCTTGCCTACGCAAGAACTACGGAGGCGAGGTAGCCAAACCCGGATGGAAGAGATGGAACTCTCCTAAGCCGCTATCCTTGGCCTCCTCTTCCGGAGATGGATTGGCAGAACCCGCACGTGGGGAGACGGATGCCGGATCCAGGACCCAGAGACCGAGGGTGCTCTGGAGGAGGGAAGGCGCGGGAGGCTGCCTGGGAATCCTCCTAACTTCCTTCACTCGGTTCCAACCTCTCTGCTCTCCCTATAGCCGTTCGCCAGCCCGCTGGGGTGCATCCTCCCGGCCGGAGAGCACATCCCGCAGATGCCTCTCCACACTATCCTTCTGTCGGTGCGCCTGACCCCAAACTGGTTCCAGCCCCTCATCCGGATAGCCAGGTCGGTGATTCGCTAGTCCAGAGGCTCAGCGGACCCGGAGTACCACGGATCAATCTGAGGAGGCATCAGGGCCAGCGGACAGCCCGGTATCCCAGCCACCCGCAGCTTGGAATGCAGTGGTCCAAAGAACCGAGACATTGAGGCTCGGTTTACCCGCGGGTCTCCAGGGAACCCCGACCTTCTCTTCGGGAGGAGTTCGAGTTCGCCGAAGTTTGCCTTGAAGAGGCGCCACGCCCCCTCCCCAATCTGAGCCGGACAGGGAACCCGTGTGCACACCGGCGCCCATAATCTCGTGCCATCGGGAGAGGACTCTGCGCCGGACGCCCGGATCTTCAACTTGAAGGAGAACTCCAAGGCGGGCGGGGCGGCGACAAAGCGGATTCGAAACCCGGAGTACGGGCGGCCCTGGGGAGCTGGCAACACTGGGGCGGCCCGGGGATCCGCGCGGCCGGGGGCAGCGCGCAGTGGTCATGGGCCAGGCGGCGCCGGGAGCTGGCTGAGCGCGGGAGGAGCGCAACCTCCCCATCGCGGGTGCGATCCCCGGCTGCACGGCGGTCGCTTGCCGGGCTGTCACGGCAGCCGTCCCCCGGCCATGGCCGGCCGCTGTTGCAGCTGCGGCCCGGGCCACCTGAACGAGGACAACGCGCGCTTCCTGCTGCTCGCAGGGCTTATCGTGCTCTACCTCCTGGGCGGCGCCGCTGTCTTCTCGGCGCTGGAGCTGGCGCACGAGCTGCAGGCCAAGCAGCGCTGGGAGGAGCGCCTGGCCAACTTCAGCCGCGGCCACAACCTCAGCCGCGAGGAGCTGCGCGGCTTCCTCCGCCACTACGAGGAAGCCACTAGGGCCGGCATCCGCATGGACAACGTGCGTCCGCGGTGGGACTTCACCGGCGCCTTCTACTTCGTGGGCACTGTGGTGTCCACCATAGGTAAGTGAACCGACTGGACTCCTGGAGGCTCTACTTCCTGGGCCCCCGCAAGACCCAGCATCTCAGCCCTGAGTATCCACCAGGTGAGCCCTTGGTGGCTGATCAACAGGTGGGAATCCTTGCCACTCTGAACATGGCGCACCAGCTGCAGCAAACCCCCCCCCGCCCCCGGGAGCTTATTATGCGTACCCTTCAGTCCCCTTCCCAGACCTCCAGAGCCAGGCGCCGCGCGTTAACCAGTCCAAGGGATTTGAATTGGGGAAGCGCCCCTGTAAGTTTTCAGGCTGAGTCCGTGGGCTCTGTCTGAGGGGAAGGCTATACGGAGACAGGAAACTATGACCAGTCACTGAGTGCCAACTATGCACAAGCCACCGCTCAAAGGAAAACCTGAATTTAAGAAGACTGTCCATGGCTTCAAACACGCAGAGTTCTCTGCAACTCGGAATTCCTGATGGGAAGGAGGCAAAAGTGTGAATGAGGGCCCAAAGAATGGAAAGTGTATCCTGCTAGGAAGAACCAGGGAAGAAGTGAACGTTGAGGCTGAACCAGTTTGAGTTTGCTATGATTTGGGTTTAGGGAAGCAAAGGGCACCCATTGCATTCTGGGACAGAGGGGACTTGCATCCAGAAGCCTGGTGAGTTGACTGGTCTTGGATTCATAGAAGGCAGGCTAGGAAGGCCTGATGGCTGCTGGGATGGAGGGGAACCTTTACTGCCAGACTAAAAAGCTAGAACTTGCCAGGAGGCAATCGAGAGCCATTGAGAGTCTTGAGAATGGTCTGTGATACTTTTATCCCCTTCAGAAAAGAAAAGATGAAGGCTCTGGGGCACACTCGAAGACTGCTCACCATTGATCTGTAATTGAATAATGAGAGCTTTGGAGAAGATAATGGAGAAATCCTGGGAAAAGAGGGCGGGGTGGGAGAGGAGCCCTAAAGACCAGACCAAGAAAGGAAGTGGCACAGAAACCACCAGCCAGCTCCTGGTAGCTGCTGCCCAAGGTCTGTGTTATCTGCACTCTGCAGTTAGGGCTCTTGTGCTCTGTTACAAGGGCTTGTCAGTGACACCAGTGATGTCGAACCTCCCACACAGTGCTGTGTTATGTAGGCATTCCACCAGTGGGGAAGGAGCCTCAAACCTTAGACCTGATTAGCCAAGAAAGACTTCCCAAGGTTAGCCAGCAGCCCAGGGTTTCAGCAGGCCAGCAGATGGCAAGGCAGATAGGTCCAGTATAAAGAGTGACACACCAGCTGTGCTGAAGTGCTTTGTGCTAAATGGTCCAGCTCACAACTCTATCTCATCTCATCCTAGTGACCCTGCCGAACAGCAAGCTGTGATGGCACCACGGTAGCTGAGTGTCTCACAAGCAAAACCTCTGGGAGCCTTCTCCATGAGAACCGCTGGGGCTTGGCAAGAGCAGTACTGTGCCCCCCACAGGTGTCCTCCTCCAGCCCATGTTCTCTGCTGGACTCTTACCAGTCTTCCACAAGCCCCTTATCATATCACCTCCCATGTCCCAGAAGAAAGATCCAGAATGTTTAAGCAGGAGAGAGATGGTGAAAGCAGTCTGACTAGGAGGGGTCACTTTAGAGCTTGGGGTCATCTTGGATCTGAATGCTTTTTTTTGGTCTTTTTGAAACAGAGTCTCCCTGTAGCCCCAGCTGGCCTGGAACTCACTGTGTAGACCAGGCTGGCCCTGAACTCACAGAGATCCTCCTGCTTCTGCCTCCAAAGTGCTGGGACTGCAGGTGTGCACTACCACTCCCAGCCTATGTTTGCAGGGTTTTTAATTTAGACTGAATGATTATTTATGGGGTGGTTTCTACGAGACATGAAGGTGTTTCTGAATTCCCCCAACCACCATCACAAACCACCTCTCAGAGCTTTGGGTGGATGTGGAGGTAGGAAGGAGCAGTGTCTGCACAGGCTGGTGAAAGTCAGTGCAGCAGGAACCCCATAGGTGGGTGGGTATGTAAGAACAGGCTTTAGAGCAAGTGAGGTCAAAGGAACCCCAGCAGTCTGGAGTTGGAGCGTTGGGTCTTGGCTCTGGAGATTGGGCACGTTTCTTAGCTCTTCTGAGTCCCCCATCCTTTTCATCTTTGGTGTCTACAAAGTGTCTAGCCTAGACTTTGGCACAATGAAACTACTGGATAAATATTAATCTTAGTCTTGCCCGCTCCCTTTCCCAAGCCTGTCTCTTCCAGGGCTCCTGTAAGGAACAGTAAGGGTCCACGTGTTTAAAAGTGCAAAGCATTATATGTGTCAACTTATTTTCACTTTCATTTGGGGGAGGGGTTGAGACAGGGTCTCCCTGTAGCACCAGCTGGCCTAGAACTTGCTATGTAGATAAGGCTGGCCTCAGTCTTACAGAGATCCTCTTGAGTCTGCCTCCCAAGTGCTGGGATTAAAGGTGTGCACGACCACTTATTTTTTTTATTTTATGCATTGCTTTTATAATAACAATACTCACTGGGGTTTTTTGTTCTTTTGGTTTTTGTGGGGTTTTTTTTTTTGTTGTTCTTGTAGACCCAGCTGTCCAGGAACTCACTATGTAGACCAGGCTGGCCTCGAACTCACAAAGATCTGCCTGCCTCTGCCTCCCAAGTGCTGGGATTAAAGGCATGTGCCACCACGCCTGGCTGTTTTTTTGTTTTTTGTTTTTTGTTTTTTTTAATTAGGGATTTGAACAGGCATCTCTATACCAATGTTTATAGCAACATTACAATAGCCACATGGTAGAAATAACTGGTGTCTATCAACAGATGCATGAATAAACAAAATGTGATATATATGTGTATATAGATACACACATACATATAATGGAGTATTATCCAGCCATAAAAAGAAATGACATTTTTATATATACGACAACATAGGTGAACTCTGAAAATAATTTTACTTAGTGAAATAAGCCAGACGCAGAGGACAAATATATAATCCAACTTATATGGGCTGCTGAGAACAAGCAAGTTCATGGAGACAGAGTAAAGCAGAGCTTGACTGGGGCTGACAGAAGGTGAAAGAAGAGCATCATTGTTTAATGGGAAGAGGAAAAGGTTTTAGGCGTAGGTAGTGGGGGCTCTTATACAGCCTTGGGGAAATAGTTAATGCTGTTGAGCTGTGCACTTATAGATGGTTAAATGGCATATAGGTGTGTATATAATCTTTTCACATAATTTAAAAAGTCAGAGTAGAATATCAAAACATAATTAGGAGATGTTGATGCTGAAAAGGACAGATGAACAGACTTGGAACAAGAACCAACTTAAAGTATTCAGACAAATAGAGTGTCACAGTATCCTGTAAATGAACTTCTGAACATTGCTTCCATCAAGGAGGCTTTTGTTAGGACTTTATTTCTGTGTTAGCCTGTGTATTTGGAACTGAGCTTCTGTCCAAAAAGGATGTAAGTCACTCTGTTTATGACATAGTAGACTTTGAGTTAGGTTCAGTAACATGCTAACCCCAAAATCTCAGTAAGTAAACTCTTGTGCAAAATCATCTTTAGGCTAGGGTGACTTGAGGGCTCTTGTCTCCTGTGTCACCTCAGGGTTCTAAGCGCCACTTATCTCATGGGCTGAAGAGAAAGGGCTGAAAAGTTGAGTACCACAATTAAATGGCTACCATCTAGAAATGACACAAATTGCGCCCACTCACATTTCGTTGGCCTAATGAAGTCACAAAGTCACACTTGGCTTCGAGGGTTTAAGGACATAGTTCTCCCATGAATCCAGCCATGGAGACTGTTTTCCCACACATGCTAAGTATACTGCACTAGAAATGGATGCTATGGGCTTAAAACATTGAAGAGGTAAGAAAATGTAAGATGGGAAAACTGAGCCGCAATTGTTGATACATGGAGATGTGTCCAAAGGATCTGCGTGAGCCCCAAATTTGGCTCTGAATTTTCCACGTGTCAAAATAATAAGGTCCAAGAAATGGTTCCCCTTATCCAAGATGAGGTCTAAGAAATCACCTAGTTTCTTCATACTGGAATGGAAGTCCCCTACAGTTTGTCATGAAGGAGACGAGAATATGTGGCAAATATCATCTGCCACGTTGTCTCTGCTGTAAATATGAATAAAAAGTGTGTGCACCCGTGTGATGTGACATTCCTCAAAGCTGAACACCACCAGCCAAAGTTCCTCTACCATTGTCCAAAGTAGCACATTGTATTTGCACAGTGGTCAGATCCAAGGATATTAGAATCCTTTCATGTGTGGTGTGTGTGTGTGTGTGTGTGTGTGTGTGTGTATGTTTCAAGAATTTCCAACAATGACAGCTCATATAAAGCATCCAAACACTGGACACAGAACTTCAGAAAACTAACAACAAAAATCACTTTTTCCAAGTGGGTCAATGCGAAACATGCATTCAGTGTTCAAATCCCTTTGCACTGGTCAATGGAGTAAAAATGGAATCCTTTACTGGTGGTCTCCAAGCTTTGGTGTCCAGCAGAACTCTGCTGTTAAAATTCAAGTGCACGGCCCCCTTGCAGAGATTCTGTTGCAGTAGCTGAACAGTTTAAGAACCTTTCCATGTGACTGTCTAGGCAGGGCCAGTGAACTCACTTGGCTGATCTCTGCTCTTTGAAGCTCGTATGATAGGAATAGGAAGCTGAGGCCTCCCAAAAGGATCCTCGCTATTCAGAGTGGTCGATGAATCAGCATCTTTGTCACCAAGTAACTTATTAGAATCTCGGCCCAATGGAATCAGGGTCTGCTTTTCAATGAAATATACCTAGTGAGTCCCAGGAAGGCTCAGGTCTGAAAGCTTGCAGTCTGAGTGGCCATTGTCTTGTGGTGTGGCCAAAAGTGGCCGGACACTTGAGACTTCCAACATAGATAAACTGGGAGGCCAGACTGGCACAGAGAGGAGATGGTTCATCTGTTGCCTTGCTAGACTTACTCTCCAGCAACAAGTCAGTGGCGGGACACTTGAGACTTCCAACATAGATAAACTGGGAGGCCAGACTGGCACAGGGAGGAGATGGTTCATCTG